ATCTTAAGCTTTCTTGGCTTCAGTGATTCCAAACACGTCAACTGCTGACATTTTCTTCTTCTGACCAGTGTCTCTTAAGTTTAGTTGTACTGTCTCCAAGGGAAGGTGACGTGTCCTGTAGAACTCCTGTGTAGATTATGTTTTCCTTTCTGGCCCGAGGGCCACAGGCCCGAACTATTATCCGAGGTGACCTTGCCCAGTGTGCAGCTTCCCTTCCACCCAGGAGCACGTTCTCCCACTGGTCCCTGACTAGACCTTAGAAAAAGACATCATTCTACCTAGGAAAGGTAGAGGTCAGCGAAAGAGAGGAAGACCCTCAACAAGATGGACTGACAGAGTGACAGTAACCAATGGACTTGAGCATGGAGGAATTCGTGAGCATGATGTCCTTTTCTAAGGACTGGTCCCTCCTAACAACATGGCCAAAGTATTTAAGACAAAGTTTCACCATCTTTGTCTTTAAGGAGCACTCTGGTTGCACCTTCTCCAAGACATACTTGTTTGCACTTTTGACAGTTTGTCCTCTTTCTCCAACATAACCCAAAGGCTTCGATGCTATTGTTGTGATAAATGTTGTGAAAAATACAATATTGGTTGTGTGAATCAATGAATGTGCAAATGAGTGAAATAGTAGTGTGACCAGGTGACAGGACCAGCTAATCTAGATCATGTAGCCAGAGAGGATTTCATTATAGACCTGATGTTTATGCTGAGACCTAAATGACAAGAAAGCAGCCATGCAAAGCTTCAGGAGTAGAGACTTTCCAGCAAAGAAAGAAATGAGTCTACATCACAACAAGATAAAGGTAAATAACCCAAGTGAAAAAATGGGCACAGGATATGAACAGGCACTTCATCAAGGAAGACATTCAGATGGCCAACAAACACATTAAGAAATGTTCAAAATCCCTAGCTCTAAGAGAGATGCAAATCAAAACAACTATGAGATAGCAACTCACCCCAGTCAGAATAGCAAAATTTAACAGAACAGCAAACAACAAGTGCTGGTGAGGTTGTGGAGAAACAGAAATACTTATTCACTGTTGGTGGAAGTATAAAATGGTGCAACCACTATGGGAGGCAGTAGGTGCTTTCTCAAAAAGTTGCAAGTAGAAATACCATTTGACCCAGTAATTCCACTACTGAGAACATACTCTAAAGAAATCAAAACGGTCACACAAAAAGATACATGCACACCTATGTTTATTGCTGTTTTGTTCACAATAGCAAAGCATTCGAAACAACCCAAGTGTCCATCAACAAATGAATGGATAGAGAAGCTGTGGTATATTTACACGATGGAATACTATGCGACATTGAAAAATAAGAAACTGATGAAATATTATGCAAAATGGGTGACCCTGAATGGGTGACATTATGCTGAGTGAAATATCTCCATCACAAAAGGACAAATATTGTATAGTGCCACTCTTGTAAAATGGGACTGACAACAGGGTTGAGTGAATAAAAGTGGATAATGTACACTGCACTGAAACAGATGAGGCAGAGAACTGTTTAAAAGGGATATATGATTAGGTATTATTGTCATGACAGGAGTCCAGAATGAAGGCTGCATAGTGGAGTGGACTTGGAGGGAGGGATTTTGTAACAATGAAGGAATTTTTCTTTCACTTTTCAAAGAGAAGAGCAAATTGGTGGGGTGGAGGTGGGCAGGGATAAAAGTGCAACAATGAATGAATGGAAATCCAAAGTCCCTGTAAACTTTCATTAAAATTAATTAAAAAAATAAAAAAGGGGGAAAAGAAACGAGTCTGACTTTCTAAGGTGGAGCCAAGTTCGTGTTACCGAAGGAAAAGAAATATTGAGGGTGGCTGAAGCACAGGACAACGTGAGAATAGTTTATGCTATGGAGTTTGTAATAAAAAGGTATTGAAGAATTTAAAGCAAAGCAGTAGCATGGTCAGATTTACTTTCTAAGAATATCCTTCTGGCTGCTGTGCAGGTAAAGACTGCAGACAAAGGCTTGAGGAAGCCAATAGGTTTTGACATTGGTCAGTGTGAGGTGACTCTGGGGGAAAGCAAAACTGTGGAGAGATGTGTGTCTATTACTGATTTGCTCTGGAAGTAGAGCTAGCAGGAGATACAAGGTGACTGTAATGTGGAAGTGAAGCAAAAGGCAAATTCATGAATGATTCGAACCTACATTTTGGAGTTAAGCAACTAGAATAGTGTCATTTCTTGAAATAGGTAAGCCTGAAGGAGCAGTATGTTAGGCTAGGAGATGAAACAAGAGAGTTGTATTTTAGAAATTTCATATGGTCTTGGACAAAGCAGATTAGCATGCGTAGGACTCAAGGCTAGAGATGGTCATATGCACAAACATACCCGCTACTACCCTACCACGACTAACTCGTTCCTTCTTAAGTAACAAAACTCGTAAGAACGAGGGGTGAGATGGCAACTCCCAGAACAAGGAGGATCATGCCAGGGTAAACCCTGCCATCGCCGAAGGCGGTACAGTTCGTTCCTATCCAGGGACCCCGCACCTAGGGCGGCCAGGCCCTGCCTAGCCTCTCAGCTTTCCCGAGGAGGCAAAAGAAGGGAAATAGAAGTTAAAAGAGTACATACCCGCCAGTCTGATCTTTTCTTGGGTCTCTCTTAACTGAACTGTGCCCGTTACCAAGTGTCACTTGTTTAACTTGGAAACTACAAGCGGGACAGTGTGTTTACGTGGGAACGGGCCGACGTCACCACGCTCCGGAAGTCTCAAGGCCATGGCGAAAGGGCTGCCGGGAAACCAGTGAAAGGGCTAGTGGGCGGGCCCGAGGCTGAGGCGGAGACGTGCGAGTCCAGCCCAATCCAGAGTGTGGCTCGCCCCGACCGGGCTCTGATTGGCTGGGGCGACTGCGCTTTCTGCGAGGCCCCGGAAGGACGTAGAGCGGCGGGCGGGCGGAGGAAACTGTCGAGAGGCGGGGAAAGATTTAGAGAGATATTTGCGTGCCAACCCGACGCCTGCCGCTCAGTTCGCTTCCACGCACCTCTTCTCCCGCATCGGAGCGCGCCCCGCTGACCTTTCCCCCTCGTGCTTCCGAGATCTGGAGTGAGCGAGTGCGCCTGCGCGCCTACGGGTCCGCGCGCTTCGCCGCTGTCCTCGCGCCGTCCGGCTGCTGGACGGTTCCTGCCGCGATTCCTCACCGGCGTCTCGGCTCCGAGGTGCTCCCGAAGGCGGGATGTCGCGGCGGCGGCACAGCGATGAGAATGATGGTGAGTGCGCCGAGTGTGACCGCCGATCCGCGCCGGGGTGGGCTCGGAGGTTTGACTTCGCAGGCCTTTGGGGCTCCAGAGAAGAGGACGGGACTCTTCCCCGAGGACGGGATCGCTGCCCCAGCCTCCCAGGATGGCAGAGCGGGGGTGTGGTCCGCTAAGGCGACTGCCTCCCGCTCACCACCACCCCAAGTTCCCGCAGATTTTGGGGAGCCCAGGTTTGACGGATTCCCGATCTCCCAGGACTCCTGATCTCTAAGAATTTGGCCCTAGGCACTTAGGTCTCTGCGCAGCTTCTTAGCAGCACCCACTTAGTAGCCTGAGGCTGGTTTAAACCCTTAGACCTTCACGTCCGAATGACCACGAAAATGACCCTGTTTCTCAAGACTGCTGTAGCATAGGAACAAAGCAGTGATTGAAAGATCAGATAAGTTAATATAGCCCGAGCTCTCTGCTCCTTAACCTTTATCTGATGTGTCTTCTTTCAAACTGCAGGGAAATGCTTTTGTCTCATCACCCTAAGAGATCGCAAATAAGCAGATCAGTCACTAGTCCTTTAAATCTTGAACTGGCTACAAACTTTATAAAATCGTGTAGGAGAGAGAGTCCTGGAAAGCTACCAGGAACGGTCTTAAGATGTTTGGAGTTCTCAGCTTCGTCTGAGTGGTTGTGCTCATGGGGAACATGATGTCCCCATTATAAAAACTTGAGCATTCTAGGGGTAAAAAGCCAGCAGAAGATGTTGACATCACACGGAAGCATTGGAAAATCAGTCAGGAACTCACATTCACAAACACAAAGTGACACCAACTGTAATAGTGCTAATAGTAGAATGTGGCATGATAATTGAAGCTCTACTTTGGAATTGGAATTCAGGTTACCTGCAAAACCCCCACCATTTGCTTTGTGATCTTGCTTCAGTATATTATCTCTTTTCCAATTTAACCTACAAAATAGAACAATGCTCTTTACATCTTTTAGGTTTTGTGAGATTTATGTGTAACAATGCGCATAAATGGCTCCTAGTGATGTGGTTGTTTTGGGGTCCTCCCCAACTCCTTTCCCTTTTAGCTGTAAATACTTAAGTAGTGATTAAAAATGGCAAATGTCCTCAGGGTACAGAAAATAATTTTACAGTGAGTTCGTGTTCTGCTTGGATATTGAAGCCATTTGAGGTAAGGGCAGAATCACATGTCTTTCACTGTCTCCTAGAAACACCAGATTTGTACAGAGCCGCCTAGGTGCTAACTTAAAGCAAGTGTAAGTGTGTGTGTGTGTGTGTGTGTGTGTGTGTGTGTGTGTGTGTGCGTGCGCGCGAGCCATCAAATCAGATCTGACAGGTACAGGAAGAGATTGTCCCTCCTTCCCCGGCAGAGCATCTGGTGTGTTCGAACCATGAGCCTCTGGGATAGTAGTTGCAGTTCCTTGCCACTAGGCCACCAGAGCTCCCCTACTTAAAGCAAATTTTAACACATAGCCTTCCTTTATAAAGTATGTTCAGGGCACAAGAAATAACTTTTGTGTACTTTGAATTGACTAATCGGAATAGCAGTCTGTTCGAAATCATCACTGGAGTTTAGAGAACTTGAGTCTCATGCTTCCCATTTTCTTTGTTCTTATGCTTTTCTCCACCATTTCTTCTTCTCTTCTAGGACACCCTTAAAATGTCTCTGTGAAAACACCCAGGATAATTAGAAGTATTTAGGATTTTTATGTGAATGGTTGGGGGGGGGACCCCACAGCTGTTGACAAGAGCATATAAGTAAGAAATTCTAGACAGGGTGTTTTGGTTTCAAGAGTCGTAAGTGTGAAAATTAAGGAAAAATTATTCCATTTTCTATAGTCTGTCTTATATTTTACTTAGAAAATTTAATAAAGCACTTGATTGTTAAATGTAATAGGAATACACCAACTGGTGCAACTTGATGTAAATAATTAGAGGTTTCTGATACACTTTTTTTATTCATTGCTGTCCTATAGAACTTAGTAACTTAGTGGTAAGGAGTTTTGGTGCCAACCCAAAGGCAAGTGGTTTCTCCCAAACAGCATCTGCTTTTTGGGAGAAAAATTAGTCGTTTCCTCCCATGTGATATACAACTTCTTATATGAGTTGGCTGCAACTTGATGGCGCTGATAAACAGCAGCATAGGCTTTATTTTCTCTAAGTTGACGTGCAGTGTAGCTAGTGATAGAGCATTTAACTACAAAGTTAACATAACAAGCAAACAAAATTTTTTTTAAAAATATAATTTTGTTGTAAATGTACGCAGCAAAACATGTATGAATTCAAATTTCCACAAATAAATTCAGTGACTGATAATATTCTTTGAATTGTGTGACCTTACCTTTCTTTTCTGAATTGTTTCTTACTTAAATAAAAACTCACTCTCCCCTAAGTTTTCTAACTATCTTTCACGTTGTTGTCAGTTTGATAATCCATATAGAGATGTCTTAAAAGAGTGTAATGTTCAAGGCAGGTGTTTTTTTGCTAGTTATGCTACTTTTTTGTTTCAAGACTTCTGGGATATTTTTTGTTTAAGGCTTATAGATAATCTCAGGCTATTTTGGGAGATGATGTGGCATGTAGTTGTATTTTACTGTGACAACTCTTCCTGTATTGGTAGGTACTATAGAGATGTTAAAAAATTAATAAAAAAAACCCTTGGAATTAATGCCCTTGTTCATGATGTTGACACAGATACACCATGGACTGCCAGAGATCTTTCTTGGAAGTAGGACAGCCAGGGGTGCTCCTTGGAAGCAAGAATGGTGAAACTTTATCTCACATACTTTGGGCATATTGTCAGGATGAACCAGTTCTTGGAAAAAGACATCAGGCTTAGAAAGGTGAAAGTTCAGCAAAAGAGAGGAAAGATCCTCACTGTGACACAGTGACGGGGGCCTGGAGCCTGGGAGAAATTAGGAGGATAATACTTGATTGGGCACAGATTCTAACTTTCGTTTATGAAGTCACTGTGAATTAGCTCAATCGCATCTAACAGCAATATATTTTCTTAAGGTTACACCAAATCCAACAAATTTATGAAATTTTAGCCTGTTTTACTCCATTTCCATTTCCTCATGTTCTGACCCAGGTCTTCCTGAGTTCAATATCCTGATACTGTCCTGAAGTTTAAATTATATTTACTTTCACCTCAGTCTCAACTGATGAGAACAGAACACTGCCTACCTCTAGCTCCTTCCTTTCTCTAAAATTTGTCCTTCATTATAACCAAAATAGGGGCAAGTGGGAATAGAGGGGTTGTAGTAGAAAAGTAACAATTGTATACATATATGGACATCGTATTTTTTTTCCTTAGAAATCCTACCCTTTTTTCCCTGGCAGTGTTGTCTCCCCTTTGTAAGCTTACTAGAAGGCCTGGAGGGTGGTTAGAATGACTGTAGTGTGATTCTAAACGGATTTGGGAACAAGCCAGCTGGATAGTTAATTTAGCAAGGCTATGGGGGTGGGATAAAAGGTTGGAGCCGGAGAGAAAAGAACAGATGATTGAGGGGCTTTTTTGTTTGTTTAAAACAGCTCTGATTTAGCCAGTTTTTCAGCAGGTCTGTTCCTCCAGCATAATTGGAACTTGGTTCTAAAGAGCTCCCTTAGTATGTCTTATCTCTAGAACATGGTTACTCAGCATCAGGACTGTTGATACTCTGAGCTGGGTTATCCATTCATGTTAGGAGTTGTGCCATGCAGTGCGGGGTGTTTTGCAGCATCCCTGGCTGCTCTTGCCTGATGTCTTCTGGAGGACAGAATAGCTTCTATTTCAGGATTTTGATGTCCTGGCCGACATTACATCCAATATGCAGTTATTTTTCAATAAGTAAATCCTGGAAAAGACCTTTGTGCTTAAAGTAGCCTCTTTGGATGATGGAATCATAATAAATCCTGTGATTTAAGCTTGATGTACATTTGAGAATAAAGTTTACTACCCACATTATGCCACATTTCTACAACTTTACGGATTATAAACTCTCTTATAACACAGCTTTCAGGCAGCGTACTCCTTTGGAATTGTCATCCCTTCACAGTTCTATCCATACCTGCTGCCTTTGAATCATTTATGACTCAGTCACCTTTTACCAGGTTTTCCAGGCCTGTAAACCTTTACAGGAAGTGACTACTTGTCTTTCTCTTTAGAAGCCACTGGTGGATTTGAACTGCTAAAATCTTCTGGTTGGTAGCACAACATGAAATGCAGTGAGCCAGACCTCCTTATCACAACTCTATCCAGTGGTTATTAAAAACAGTGTAATGATGGATAAAGGGGCTAACATGTAAAGCAGAATGATTTACCCTGTCATTTTAGAGTATTCCTGTCTGTATGACAACATTTTATGTGGTATCTGAAGATCATTTCTGTCATTTGAGATACTTTGTAACACCCCAAGCTCAGAATAGCAAGGTAGTATTTTATGAGTTACTGTCCATTTCACCCTAAATGTATCAGAAGACAAGTAAGTGATTATGAACTCTACAAAAATAGTTCTGATGCTTTGACTACACAGATCTGAAGAATGAAGTTAGATATTAGATAGCTCCTGGATAACCCTGTACCCAACTGCATATTTTCGTTATTACTACAGATTCTCAGCACAATTAATAGACTAGAGCTGATTAACCTTGTTACTTTTGTATCAAGGATTCTTAAAGCAAAATTTTTTCTTGCCAGTTATTTGAACAGTGCTTATGACTTTTGTGTATATGTGTGTTGTTTTAGTTTCATTGTTTGTGATAAACTGTATCCTAGTACTATCATTAATATCACAGGCCAGCAAAATACTGCTGAAGATCATCCAGAAACAACTAGAAAAGTCCATTCACAGGGAACTTCCAGAAGTTGAAGCTGGGTTTAGAAGAGGCCATGGCACTAGCAAGATCACTGCTAATATCCAATAATTCCTGGCTAAAAACAGAATATCAGAAGAATGTTGGTCTGTGTTTAATTGACTATGCAAAGGCCTTTGACTGGATCACAGCAAATTGTGGCTAACATTGAGAAGAATAAGAATCCCAGAACCCTTAATTGTGCTCATATGAAATCTATATCTAGACCAAGAAGCAATTGTCCAAATAGTACAAGGGAACACTTATATTAAGGATAAATCCTTTCTCTATATCTGTTCAATCTATATGCTGAGCAAATAATTGATGAAGCAGGACTGCATGAGGAAGAACATGACGTCCAGATTGGAGGAAGACTCAACAATCTGCACTATGTGTATGACACAGCCTTGTTTACTGAAAGCATGGATTGCATCTTAACATCAAGAATGCAGAATCCTTACCACTGGGCCACTGTACAATGTGATCATTTGATGGAGTAGGAAGGATTGAAACTGTTAATAATTTCGTCTTGCTTGGATCCATAGTCAACACCCTTGGTACAAGCAGTCAAGAGATAAGATATAATGTTTTGGGTAAGTCTGCTGTCAGGAATCTCTCCAAACTACTGAAGAACAATGATGTCAGTTTGAAGACTAAAGTGCACCTGATTCAGGCCAGGGTCTTTTTATTTACTTGCTGTACATCTGGCAGTTGGACAATGAATAAGAATAAAAGAATTGATGCCTTTGTCTTGTGGTGCTGGAGAAGAATGCTGAGTATTCCATTGTTGTTGTTGTTATGTGCCTGCGAGTCGCCTGCGACTCATAGCGACCCCATATACAAGAGCCCTAAATACTGTTCTATCCTGTGCCAACCTTGCCATCTCAAGCACACTCATTCCCACCACTCCACTCACAGAATCGATCCATCTCATCGAAGGTCTTCCTCTCCTGCACTGTCCCTCCCCTCTCCCAATCATGATGTCCCTCTCCAAGGACCAGTCCCTTGAGTATCCCATAGACTGCCAAAAACACAATCTGGTTTGTCTTAGAAAAAGTATAGCCAGAGTGCTTCTTGGTTGGCTCTCATACTTTGGACATTGCTAGCAGAGGCTGTTCCTTGGAAAAAGATGTCATGATTTGAATGGTAGAGGGCCAGCAAAAGAGACGAAGACCCCATCAAGGTGGGTTGCCACAGTAACTGTAGCAGTGGGCTCAAGTGTATCAGAGATAGTGAGGATGGCACAGGATAGGACAGGATTCAGATCTGTAGTTCTTAGGGTTGCTAGTAGTCATCCTCTACTTGACAGCAACTAACAACTACAGTACTGTGTAGTCTTGTTAAGTGCTATGGAATCACTCCCCAACCAATGGCAAGATCAATGCAGAGTGCAAAATGTTACTTTTCCTGCACCATTCCCATGATCAGTTGTAGATTCATAACATTTTCATTGGCTGATTTTCAAAAGTAGATTACCAAGCCTTTTTTCTTAAGTCTCTTTTAGTCTGGAAATTCTGCTGAAATGTGTAATAGTGGATTTGTCATATAATACTATTTTTTTTTTAATTACTGAAACAGGGGGACAGCCTCACAAAAGGAGAAAGACCTCAGATGCAAATGAAACTGAAGACCACTTGGAATCTTTAATATGCAAAGTAGGAGAAAAGGTCTGTACTGCAGTGGGCATTGTGTGGTGACCTTGGGGTTGTGGTTGATTCTGCTTTGATTACTGAAGCCAACAATTGTGACTAGGTTTTAGGTAAAATGTTTATTCCTATGCATCTGTATCCCAGATTGTGTGCATATTAAAACCCCTTAGATAAAGATAATTTCAAGCTAAATACTTCTTAGTAATTCTTATAGAACATGAGCTTAGAAAGGGCCTAAGGAATACTCCTCTTAATTGAGTAGTAAAGGACCAGCCAAGTCCTAGATACTTAAAGTGGTTTGTGGCATTATAAAGTGAATTAGTGAGATGGAATAGAGTACTTGGTGACCTGTCTTCCTAATACTTAATCTGCTATGCTAGATTGCCTACTTTTTCACGTCATTCTGTTTTCATGGATTTCTGAATAGTAGTAACTAGTTAAATTGACCTATCATAGTGCCTTCTGCATATGTACAACCTTTTAAAAACTATTATTATTTTATTATTATTATTATTTTATCATCATCATCACCACTTGGAAATTGTATTTTAATTCTCCAGTTGCTGAGTAAGTACAGTATATAATATCTTCTACAGAGTGCCTGCTCTTTGGAGAGCAACCTAGAAGGCCTAGCTGGTGTTTTGGAAGCTGATCTTCCCAACTACAAGAGCAAGATCTTAAGGCTTCTTTGTACAGTGTATGTATGCAAAAGATTTATGGATCCAGGTGATAATGTATTATCTACTTTTAAAGGCTTTGGGAGATTCTTCCTTCTGCAGGGAAATGTATGCAGATGAAATTACATGGATCCCACTGGTGATTCTTTTTTTTAGTAATAAATAAAACTAAAATTTAACATTTTCCATATGTTTTATTTCTTAGAATCTTACAATTATTTAACTTTTAAAATGAGAGAGTAGATACTTGAACATTCAGGAAAAAATTTAAAACATGCACATTTAAATAAATAGGTTCTTATCTTTTTTAACCAGTTAGGAAATCAGAGAACTAATCAGTTGGAAAACAGCCCATCTCTAAAGACTCAAGATGCTTTGCTTTGGAAACTGTTAATGTGCATACATTTTTCCTAACTTATGTTAGCTAATACAGTTATAAGCATTTTATTTATAAAGAAAGAAGAGTGGGAAAAGTTATTCAACCATGAAAACATGAAACCGTTTCTCTGATGAGGATAGCAACTTAGACCTTACTGGCGCAGTGAAGCACTGATCTGCTCTGATGTCATTTAAAAGTATTTATTAAAATGAAGGGTAACATTTATGCTTAATGTGTATTGGAGACAATGATTTTTATTTTTGTTTCTTTAGGACTTAAGTAATATTGTTTGGTTTGGGGAAATTTTGGTGGAGAGCTGATCACTGCAATGCAGATGATTTTTTTAAGCCCTAAATTGTCCCCAATACTCTACCAGATACCCTAGAAGAACAAAATAAAATCTTTTTCCTGCTGCATCATGAATTCTTGTTTGCTTTTTTCTTTGAACTAATACATAAAGACTTCCTAAAATAAGCAATATTTGCATTTTCTAAAAATTAAGATTGCTGTAATCCTCATCGCTATTTTCTCAATAGCTTTAATGAAAATTAACCTTTAGGGCAAGCAAATTAAAATGTAAAGAAAGTTTACTACGTGTTAAGGATTCCTCAGCTTAACTAATACTAACTCAGTTGAAACTAGTTTTAGTTCTGTATCTTTCTGAAACAAATAGTATTTTTCGAAGTAGAATTCTTGTCCTATCATATTGATTAAATAAGTTTAGAAATACTGAATACTGGATCCCTTTAATGCTTTCACTTTAAAGAAACTTACTTCAACCAGCATTTTCCCAGATTAAACTGTAGAAACCATTTCCTGTGAAAGTACTCTTGGGTTCTACCAAATAAAACTTGTAATTAGAAAAACTGGTCTAGTTTCAGTTAAACTTCTTTCAGTTTATTAACTGCAATTTTTGTGAGTGTTTTTGCTTTCTTTACTCTCGGATGAACTAACTAGAACTTAATGTAAAAATGGTGACATATCTTCTTCTCAGTGGCAGTTTTGGTTTTGGTTGTGTGGTTGTTTTTTTTCCCCAGAAAGACACATTTAAATGTAATATTGTTCCAAAGTGTATGAAATGATAAATGGCTTATATAATTTAAAATTCCGCAGCCTAACTCTGCCATAATTTTGGGTTTTCTTGTACTGGATTCTCAATTCAGTGCCCGTCTTTTACCTGAGAAGTTGACAATTTATACAACTTTGGTTGGACTACTGAATGCCAGGAACTACAATTTTGGTGGAGAATTTGTAGAAGCCATGATTCGTCAACTTAAAGAATCATTGAAAGCAAACAACTATAATGAAGCTGTATATTTGGTAAGTTCTTAATTTGGTTTGGTTTTATTTTAGGGAGCAGTATTTAAGTGAACTTCAGTCAAATCATTTCTTTTGAAATACTGTCTCCACTACTAACTCCAGCAGCCCCTCTTTAAACCATTCTCATCAAATATACCCAGGGCTCATTACTAAGTCAGTGGCTAATTTTCATTTTAACTACTAGTTGACCTCCAGTTAGCATACAGTTTTTTACGGTATCATTTCCTTTGGTTTCCTGCAGTACCACTTTTCAGAATCTCCTGCTACTACTTCTCTTTTATTCCTTTGTCTGTTGGGGGGTTTTGGGGTTTTTTTTAAACCAGTCATTTTCCTTAACCTTTTAAATATTTGTGTTTCTCAGGGTTCTTTTCTCATTTTGTGTTGTCTCTTCAATCACTCTCCTGGAATATTGGCAAAGCTTCAATGACTTTTATTTTTATTTTTTTTATACTCTTTTTTTTAAAAATTTTTATTGTATTATTTTTACGTGTACCATCAAATCAGATCTGACTGGTACAGGAGCTCCCTCCTTCTCCAGCAGAGCATCTGGTGACTTTTATTTTTTTATGATTGCCAAATCTTTAATCTATCTCAAGAGTAACTGTTAGATGTAGACTTAGATTCCAAATGTTACTTGAGTGGCTGGTAGCTATTTAGCTGGAACTCCCTAAATTAATTTCCTTTCCTTCTGTCCTCTCATTAATCCAAACAGTACCCACACAGTGGCCATTGTCTTTTGGGTAACCCGTCTAGAAATTGAGAATTTTTCTTCCATTTCTGCCTCATAGCTGTTAGCTCTGTTTCTTGGATATCTCTTTAGTTCATCTCTTCTCCTTTGCCTCTAGGATCTCTGAAATAGTACATACATTCCTCCTCATGTCTCTGTAACCTCTTACCCAATCTTTTTGCATGTGTTGTGATCTTTTTTTTAAGCTTTGTTCTGTTCATGTCAGTCTGTTAAAACTTCTCTTCCTTCACAGTGTCTACAGTGGCTAGTCTTAAAGTCCAATGCAGAGGATCCTTCAGTAGGATACAAAAAATACGTAGTAGAACTCTTATTCTTTTAAATGGATCCATAAATTGACTGTCATCCATTACATCTTTTAAATAATACACATGTGTTGGAAATGTCTAGACATATTCTTTTTGTTACTGATAAAAAGTATACAACCCAACACATTTGGATACCATCAGGTTTAGAATTAAATTGAAACTCCTTAGCCTGACCCTTTATGGTTGCCCCAGTATGTTCCTGTTTTGCCTTCCAGGCACTGGCCAGCTGTCTTTCAGGAGCCAGCCAGACACTTTCCAGGCACCAGCCAGGCGCCTTCCTGGCTTATCAGAATTACTTGTAGATTCCTGAACACACCCTTTTAGAATCCTTCTGTCTAAAATGTCTTCTTTGCTGTCACCTTGAGAAAAATACTCATCTTTCATGACCTAGCCCAGTTGTTACCTTCTTAATAATGCTTTTTACTCTTTTCACCATCATTCCTCAGCACTCTGCTTACCTTGTTGTATAGGCATCCCCCTGTGGGATGAGATCATGCTGGTCGGCTGCTCTGCGAACTTCTGTTTGGCAGGAATATTGCTTAGCAGTGGCACACAAAGAATACCCAATAAATACCTTTTCAGAAAGTCATCTTCATTTCTGTAGTCTAGCCAAACTTTCTTTATAGACAAATGGGAAAGGAGTTTGTAGCTTAAAGAAGCTAAGATACTTAGTCTGGTATTTAGTTCTTTGTATAATACCAGTATATTTCGTTCTCGGTGTACTGTAACACAGAAACCTGTAAAAGTACATAGCATTTTCCTTCATGAGGTATCTGCCACAGCTACTGATTGTGCTGTTGTAGCACGAAAACAGCCTTACCATGTAAACAGATGAGCATAACCTTCCCGATTAAGTTTACTTATAGACACTAACATTTGAAATTTATGTGATTTGTATATAAGGGTTTTTTTTAAGGCATTTTAAAAAAATTAAACCCTTTCCCTTTCTCATGCTTTGCCAAAAACAGCTTGTTAAATTTGGCCCTCAGGCTACCATTTTTCACATCTCTGATTTAGACCATTAAAGTGTTGCTTTGTTTTTTTTTTTTTTTTAGTTAACCAGTTTTAACATCAGAAATTATTTTATACAACAGGTTCGATTTTTGTCTGATCTTGTGAACTGTCATGTAATAGCTGCCCCATCGATGGTTGCTATGTTTGAAAACTTTGTAAGCGTGACTCAGGAAGAAGATGTGCCTCAGGTAAGAAGTTCTGAAGTTTGTATACACAGTCACAGAAACGTTTTGCTGGTATCCTTTTAGTGCAGTGTCTGGGTGCCCTGAATGGGTAAGAACTGTGTTACTGAAAGAAAGGTTGGTGGTTTGGACCCCCTCAGAAACACACCAGAAGCAAATCTTGATAATCTGCTTTTGAAAGGACTCCGTGATGACTGCCCTAGAGAGAGCATTTCTACTTTGAAACCTGTGAGGCCGCCATGAGTCACCACTAACTCCATAGCAACTAAGGAGAAAAAAGAACTATTAATAATAAGAGAAGTTTTTACACTGTAAACTCATAATATCTAAAGTTATACCAGCTGACATACTATGATAGGCTCTCAAGTCTAGTTGTATGTTCATTCAAATGATTATGTCTAATGAGATGCGAACATATATATCAGAAAAATTAGAAATGTTGTGCATTAGTCTCTTGTTTTACTTCTTATTAGCTTCCATTAATACATATCTTAAACTTACCTTTAAAAAATTCTTTAGGTCCGACAAGATTGGTATGTGTATGCATTTCTGTCATCTTTGCCCTGGGTTGGAAAGGAATTGTATGAAAAGAAAGACGCGGAGATGGACCGCATTTTTGTCAACACTGAAAACTATCTGAAGTAAGGGCATAGCTCGTAGTATTTTTTTTTTTTTATTGTTTAGTAAGGGATATCATTTATATAACTTTATAATTTGGGTTTTGTTGAATAAAAGTACATAATTCTACTTTTTCTTCTTTTTTTTTTCCATTTTATTTGATGATGTATTTATTCTCAAGCCATAAGTTTTTGTTTCTTCAGTTTCTTCTGGGAGATCTTTTTCTACTTTTTTTTTTTGTAATGCCATTGCTTTAATGTACTATTATTTCTTTCATTTGAGTCATATTTGACTCAATGGCACCTAAGAACAGCAGCAACTGATAAATAGGGAGCTCTGGTGGCTTACTGGCAAGGAACTGAACTGCCAATGCATAGGTACACTGTTCAAATCCACCAGCTGTTCTGTGAGAGAAAGATGGGCAGTCTCTGCTACTGCCTCTGAAGATCAGCTGGAGGGTCAGCTGTGAGTCAGTTCCAACTCAGTGGTACACAGCAACAACTGGTAAATACTTAGGTTATTTTTAGTCTTTTGTTGTGAAAAACAGTGTTACAGTAAATGTCTTTGTACATTTGTGGAAGTATATTTGTAGAGGGTGTAAATTTTTAGAACACTCATTACTGAGTTGAAATGTCTGAATGATTTAAACATTGACAGTCAAGTCAGAGTACTTTCCAAAGAGGCTATACTCTTTCAAATTGACTTGAGAGAGATGATACCAGTTAATCATTTTGCCAACAGTATATGTCTACATATTTCCTTATACTTGAAAATGTATATTATAAAAACTTTTAGTCTTTGCCAATCTGATAGGTGAAAACTGTCATTTAGTAGCTTTAATTTGCATTTTACTAATGATGAAAGCAACTGAGCATCTGTTCATGTTTTTAGAATTCTTAATGTAGACTGTCATTTTTGTGTTTAGAAGACGCCAAAAGACCCATATACCCATGTTACAAGTATGGACTGCAGATAAACCACATCCTCAAGAAGAGGTAAAGTGATTTCAGTTTCCTGTGATTCAGATACTTGGCCAACTCCTGAATAAGTTTTTATCTTTGTAAACGTACTCAGATCATTCCATTTAAACTAGTTCCCACATTTCACATCAGGACTGCCAACTTTTAATAGCTCTTGTCATATATAGTGGTGTTTTGACAAATATTCCCTTGGTCTCTGGATCAAGGTATCGTAAAGTTAAAGAGTTTTTAATTTCAGTGTCTGATTTGAGAAATATAAGCATAACAACCCAAAACAGATTGGCTGTTTCATTGTCCTATACTTAATTATAATTAAATTAGTTTGTCGATTTTAGAAGGTAATGACTTACGAAAATATTATTTCTTCTTGTCTGAGTATATACTATTAAAAGTTAATCTTTCTTCAGTATTTAGATTGCCTGTGGGCCCAGATTCAGAAATTGAAGAAGGATCATTGGCAAGAACGGCACATCCTGAGACCTTATCTTGCCTTTGACAGCATCTTGTGTGAAGCTCTCCAGCATAATCTGCCACCTTTCACTCCACCTCCTCACACAGAAGATTCCGTGTACCCAATGCCACGGGTCATCTTTAGAATGTTTGATTACACAGATGATCCTGAGGTATATTACAGCTAAGGGGTCCTACCAAAGGATCTGGACTCGATTGCATTTGCAAATTAATCTTGCTTGAATTATGTCTTTAAAAAATTTTCTTTTCCCACAGGGCCCGGGGGCGGGGGGGTGGGGGCGGGATTTCTTTTGTGTTTATTATCTAAGAAAGTTGATGATGAAATTAATATCTTAATTTAGCTAATGTTAGCCTCTCTTAAAGAAAAAAATTTGATTTAGTAAGTGTAAATAGATGAAACAGAAAACATAGTGTGCCAGTTAAGAGATTTTCCAGTTCCCTTGATTGGGGTTTTAATCTTTGCTTAACTAGAACTGGTTGTATGATCTAGATATGATGTTTGCCTCTCCAGGCTTTAGTTTCCTAAACGGCAAAGTCTACTTCAAAAAATTGTCATGAGAATGAAATTATAAACACACTTAAAATGCATAGATTTGACCCTGACATATGTGGATTTCTCAGTAATTGCTGCCTGTTATGAATTAGATTTTCTTTTTTAAAAAAATACTGAGATTTAGAGATTATTTTTCCCTTTCCATACCTCACATCTTAAGTTATTATTTCTTTTAAGATGATATTTAACTATACTTTTATTTAAAACTCCTAGATTACTATAAAGTGACTGTATAGCATAGTCTGTAGAGAATTGTGCTGCTAACCCGAAGGCCGTTCCTCTCTAGAAGTTGAAATCCACCAGCTGCACTATGAGCACAAGATAGGCAGTCTCTTGTGTGAGTGACATCCTCCAAACTCCTGCTGGAGGTTCAGCTCAGAGTTGGTTCTGACTCCATGGCAATGACTGACTTTAGATTTTGATACCTTTTTTAAAAAAAAAATTTATTATTAATTTTAATGCAAATTTACAGAGACTTTGGATTTCCATTCATTCATTGTTGCACTTTTCTCCCTGCCTACCCCTCTCCCCTCCCAGTACACTCTTCTCTTTAAAAAGTAAAAGAAAGAGGTCTGGGGAAGGGGCGGCCGGTGCCATGTCTGGCTGCGAAGGTGGTAAGAAGAAGCCCCTGAAACAGCCCAAGAAGCAGACCAAGGAGATGGACGAGATAAGGCTTTCAAGCAGAAACAAAAAGAAGAACAGAAGAAACTCGTGGAGCTAAAAGCGAAGGCCGCGGGCAAAGGTCCCCTGGCCACGGGGGGAATTAAGAAATCTGGCAAAAAATAAGACTGAGGCAATGATGAACCTTACTTCCGTTCTTTTTTAAAACATCTGGATTCTCTGCTGTAACATCTTTTACCACAGTGAAGAAGAAACCTTATGATGGTCCATCTCCAGTTCTCATTCAGCCATTCCAATCTTAGCTGTCTGTGCAGTCAAAGTAAATGGAATCCAGAATCCTGTCAGAATCTTCATTCTTCATTATGCCCAGAATTCTGTACCACCTGGAATTAAACCAACTCATTTGAAAAAAAAAAAGTAAAAGAAAAATTCTTTCATTGCTTTACAATCCCTCCCCCCAGGTCCATTCCAATATGCACCTTTTGTTCTGGACTCCTGTTAATGACAGTAATACCTAATCATATATCCCTTTTAAATGGTTTTCTCCCTCATCTGTTTCAATGCAGTATACATTATTTATCCCATATTTCTCAGTCCCCCCCCCAACTCCGATGTCAGTCCTGTTTTACAACAGTGGCACTATGCAGTATTTGTCCTTTTGTGACTGAAATATTTCACTCAGCACAATGTCCTCCAGGGTCACCCCTTTTGAATAGTATTGCATGCGTTCTTTGTTTTTCAATGCAGCGTAGTATTCCATTGTGTGAATATACCACAGCTTCTCTATCCATTAATTTGTTGATGGGCACTTAGGTTGTTTCCAACTCGTTGCTATTGTGAACAAAGCTGCGATAAACATGGGTGTGCATATACCTGCTTGGGTGATAGTTACAGTCTCTTTGGGGTATATTCCCAGTAGTGGAATTGCTGGGTCAAATGGTATTTCTATTTGCAACTTTTTGAGAAAGCGCCTCACCACCTTCCACAGTGGTTACACCATTTTACACTTCCACCAACAGTGAAATAAGGGTTCCAGTTTCTCCACAACCTCACCAATATTTGTTGCTTGGTGTTCTGTTAATTTTGCTATTCTTACTTGGATGTGATGTTATCTTATAGTTGTTTTGATTTGCATTTCTCTTAGAGCTAAGGATTTTGAACATTTCTTCAAGTGCTTGTTGGCCATCTGAATGTCTTCTTTAGTGAAGTATCTGTTCATATTCTGTGCCCATTTTTCAGTTGGATTGTTTATCTTCTTGTGGTACTCAAGTATTTTATAAATTCTAGATATAAGTCCCTTATCTGATGTGTCATTACCAAATGCTTTTTCCCAGTCTGTGGCTTTCCTTTTTACCCTGTTGGAGAAGATTTTGGATGTGCATAGGGATTTGATTCTTAGACGGTCCCATTCAACAATTTTATCTTCTAGTTGTAGATTTTTCAGGATGCTTGGAAGACTGTTTATGTTGTGGATTAGGACTTCTAGAGTTCTTCCTTTCAAGCTTTTCTTTAATGAAGTTTGTAGTCCTTGGTTTTAGTCCTAATTCCATGATCTACCTAGAGTTGGGTTTTGTGTATGGAGTGAGGTGTGGATCTTGCTTGAGTCTTTTGCAGATACTTTTCCAATTTTGCCAACACCATATGTTAAAAAGGCTGTCGTTTCCCCACTTAACTGATTTCATCTCCTTGTCAAAAATCAGTTGACCGTAGGTAGATGGGTTGATCTCTGGATTCTCAATTCGATTCCATTGATCTATGTGCCTGTCATTGTACCAATACCATGCTGTCTTAACTACCATAGCAGTGTAGTAGGATTTGAAATCAGGGGATGAGATGCCTCCTACCTTTTTTCTATTTTTAAGGAGTGCTTTGCTTTTTTGGGGTTTCTTTCCATTCCAAATTAAACTAGAGAATGCCTTTACCATGTCGTTGAAGAATGGGATTGGTATTTGTGTTGGATTGCATTGAATGTGTAAATTGCCTTTGGTAGCATTGTCATTTTCACAATATTGAGTCTTCTATGAGCAAGGGATATTCTTCCACTTCTCCAGGTCTCTCTTTGTTTCCTGTTGTAATATTTTATAATTTTCTTTGACTAGATTCTTTGTGCTTCTGGTTAGATTTACTCCCAATTAGTTAATCTTCTGATTAGCTATTGTGAAGGGTATTGTTTTTCTTAGTTCCGGTTCTGTATTCTTTTTGTCACTGTAGAGAAATCCAACTGATTTTTGTATGTTAATCTTGTATCCTGTTACTTTGCTGAATTGGTCAGCTATGTCCAATAGTATTCTTGCTGAATCTTTAGGGTTTTCTAAATATACTATCATATCATCTGCATAGAGGGATAATTTTACCTCCTCTTTGCCAATTTGGATACCTCTTATTACCTTCTCTTTTCTTACTGCTATCGCTAAGACTTCCAATATAATATTGAATAAGAGAGGTGAGAGTGGGCATCCTTGCCTATTTCCTGTTCTTAAAGGGAAGGCCTTTAACCTCTCCCCATTAAGAACAATGTTGGCGCTCGGGTTTGCATAAATATGTTTTACTGTATTGAAGAAATTCCCCTCTAATCCTGTTTTGTTGAGTGTTTTAATCAGGAAAGGGTGTTGGATTTTGTCAAAGGCCTTTTCTGCATCAGTTGATAGAATCATGTGGTTCTTGGTCTTTGCTTTGTTAATGTGATGAATTACATTGTTTTCCTTATGTTGAACCATCCCTGCATACCTGTTATGAATCCCACTTGGTAATGGTGAATTATTTCTTTGATGTATCTAGACTTTGATACCGTTTACATATATGTGTTGTTTATTTGAAAGCCAACTTGTTGATATCCACTATAACAATTAATATTAAAATACATCATTTTGATTGTAGTATTTGCAAATTCATATTTTTAACTGGCTTTATTTTTTTTTTATACCTCTACACTTTTATTAGCCAGGCAGCAAGCACTGTAGTTTCCGGATTAATTCTGAATAGAAGTGTACTTGGCTAGATAGGTATCCTACCTGTTGCTTAGTATTTTCCAGTCGGCACAGAGCAGGATTTTTCAGCCCCTGCTCAGTTAACATGTTACTCTGGGTCATTCCTTGTTGTAAGTGGTTTTCTGTGTAAGATCAAGACTATCTCTAACCTCTATCCGCTAGATCCTAGAAGCACTACACACTACCCTGACACTCAATTATGACAACCAAAAAGGTCTCCAGAGATTGCCAGATGTCACCTGAAGTGGAAATTTGAGAACTGCTGGCATTAGATATATTTATATAGTAACCTGTATTACTACTTGAGGTCAAATATGAGTTTTCTTTCCCCTGCCTTCATTGTTTGTCTTATGGTACATTTAGTATGAACAAATGAAAATTTAGTATCTGTATAATCCACTGTATCGAAAGGAATTGACAGACGCAGAAGAATTTCATGAAACAACATATGAGCAAGAGCCTATGGTGATGAAAGAAGAAGTTCAGGCTGCTTTGAAGGAAATGGCAAAAAATAATGCTCTGGGAATAGATGGTATACCAATTGACGTATTTCAGCTAACAGATGCTGCCCTGGATGTGCTCACCAAGTTGTGCCAAGAAATCTGGAGAACAACC